GTATGCAAGGGTGGTTCAACACAAGCAAATTAATTAATGGAACGCATAAACAGATTCAAGGACAGAAATCAATGGCAATATCAATAGATATAGAAAAGGGCTCTAACAAAGTCCACCATCTCTTCAAGATAAAAACTCTGAGGAAATTAGAACTAGAAGAGACATACTTCAATGAAATAAAGGCCATGTAGCTAACATTATACTGAAACTCAAAGCATTTCCCCTGAAATAAAGAAGCAAGAATGGCTGCTTTCTTCGTGCTTACTCAACATAGTGCTTGAAGTCTTAGCTAGAGCAAGAAGAGAAAGACACCAGTGGAATATAAATAGGATATATCTAGTGATACTATCCCTATTTACAGACGATATGATCTGATGTGTGAGAGACCCTATAGATTCCTCCAGAGAACCCTTAGGACTGATACATGCTTTCAGCGAAATAGCATCAACAGAGGTCAAAGGGCAAATCCCAGTTGCCCTCCTGTATACCTGTAGTGAACATGCTGAGAAAGGGACCAGGAGAACAATGTCATGCAGAACAGCTTCAGAAAAATACATGTAGCCAAAGAAGTGTAAGTCTGTTAAAATTTGGAAATATTGGGAAATCTGAAGAAGACCCTGGAAGAGGGAAAGAACTCTCATACTCATGGATATCTTCATGGAGAAAAATGAAATCAGGAAAAGGTGGGGGGTGGAATTTAAAGATTATAATTATAGGCTGGTCTTACTGGAATGGAATAACAAGGAAGTCATCTGAAGAACTGATAAATGGGATTGTGTGAATCTAAAAAGCTTCTTTGTAGCAAAGGAAACACTAGCAGCACAGTGAAGGGACAGCTTGCTGAATGGGAGACAAATCTTTGCTAGTATCTATCTAGTAGAGGACTAATATCTAGAATACAGAACTCAAGAGACAAACTACCAAACACCCAAGCAATCCAACCAATAAATAGGCTAATGAAATGATGAAGAACAAATAGTGAATAAATATATGCAGATGTGTTCAACATCCTCAACCATCAGGGAAATGCAAACTAAATAAACATTGAGATTCAATCCCATTGAAGTCAGAATGGCTATCATTAGGAAAACAACAAATGCAGGCTGAGAGATAGCTCAGTCGGTAAGTGGTTGCCATGAAAATATGAGGACCTGAGTTTGATCCCCTAGAACACATATAAAAAAGCTGGGTGTACAGAAGATGAGAAAGCTTAGCCAGGAAAGGTGCTTGCCATCAAGCTTGACAATCTGAATTTGATCTCCAGAACCCATTCAAATAAAAGTACCAACTCTTAGAAGCTGTCCTCTGATCTCTACCTGCTTGATCCATGTGCACACACAGATAGATAGATAGATAGATAGATAGATAGATAGATAGATAGATAGATAGATAGATAGATAGATAGATACCCTGGGTTCAGCAGCACATACCTGTAGTCCCAGTGCTAGGGAGGTGGGGACAGGAGAATCTTGGGGTTTGTTGGCCAGCCAATCTATCTGAGTCAATGATCTCCAAGGTGAGCCAAAAAAAAAGGTGGAGATTGATTGAGGAAGCCACCCATGTTGACCTCTGACCTCCACATGCAAACATACACATTCATGAACACAAACACAAACACAAGTGCACGCACGTGTGCGCATGGACACACCAAATGTTTTAAGGATGGAGAAGAGCTCTTAAATTGCTGGTGGAGATGTAAATTAGTCCAAGCACAATGAAAAACACTATGGGGGCTCCTAAAAGACTAACAGTAGGTCATCAAGATGGTTCAGTAAGTAAGGACGCTTGCTGACAAAGCCTGCTGACTTGAGTTCAATCCCCAGACCCCTCCATGTGGAGAGAGGAAACCACTTCCAATAAGTCATATGGGTTGTCTTCTAACCTCCATGCATGTGTCAGGGTACACAATATGTCAATCTAAAATAAAGTCAATTCAAAAACCCAACTATAGCATTGCCACATGGCCCAGTTATACCAATCCTGGCTATATACCCAAAGGACTTGGAACCAACATAACACAGACATATTATAAGAGGTAATTGTACATCAGTGTAGCACTGTTCACAATAGCTGAGTTATGAATCAACAATTACTGTAGCACTGTTCACAATTGCTGAGTTATGAATCAACCACATCTGCATGTCAACAGATGAATGGATAAAGAAAAATGTGGCACACATTTTTATTCAGATGTACAGAAGAAATTAGTGTTTTCAGGAAAGTGGATGGACTTTTGATTGTGTTGAGAGAAATAAATCAGACTCAGAAAGACAAATATCATGTATTTTCTTGTTTTTGGTTCCTAGGATAACATTTTGTTGATTACACACCCATACTATTTTAATCTCAATAATGGAGATAATAATAGCTCCTGAAATGAAGGAATGTTTTAAAATTTTTATTTAAAAATATTTACTTTATGTGCATGAGTGTTTTACTCAACTATATGTAGTGTACTTTATGCTTGCTTGATGCCTTCAGAGGCCAGAAGAGGTCACTGGATCCCCTTGAACTGGAGTTAAGGATGATTGTGAGCCACCATGTGGGTGCTGGGAACTGAATCTGAGTCCTCTGGAAGAGCATTGACTATTCTTAATCTCTGAGGCATCTCTACAGTGCCCCTTAACATTTTATTTTTGTGGCGCATATGTGTGTGTGTGTGTGTGTGTGTGTGTGTGTTTTCTATATGTGTATATATGCAGGAGTGTATGCCTGTGTTGGCCTATGGAGTTTGGAGGTCAACATCAGGTGTATTTCTTGATTTCCCTCTACTTTTTTTTTTTTTGAGACAGTGTCTCTCACTGGTCCAGTGTCTGCTGTTTCTGCTACACTGGTTGGCCTGTGAACCCCAGGATCCTCTTGTCTCTGCCCCCTGACCCCAGCACTGGGATTTTAGACCCAGGTCTCTGCTTTTGTGTGTGTTCTGGATACTTGAACTCAGGTCTTCACACTTGCTCTTTACACACAGTGATGGTTTGAATAAGAATGGCTCTCATAGGTTCATACATTTGAATGCTTATGGAGTAGCACTATTTAAAAGTATTAGAAAGTGTGGCCTTGTTGGAAGACGTGTGTCACTGAGTATGGGCTTTGAGTTTCAGCTCTCTCTTCCTGCTGCCTGCAGAACCAGATATAGAATTCTCAGTTCCTTCTTCAGCACCATGTCTGCCTGAGTGCCATTATGCTTCCTACCATGTTGATAATGGATTAAACCACTGAAACTGCAAGCAAGCCCCAACTAAATGCTTTCCTTTTTAAGTGTTTCCTGTGATTATTGCTGTGATAAGTCACAGCAATAAAACACTGACAAAGACACCCATTGAACTATCTTAATAGCCCTTGAATAAATCCTTTGGATACATTATAAATTTCATTATCTTCTTGGCTTATCAGAATCCTCCAAGACCTTTATTTCTTGGCTGTTTGGACAGTAATATTTTACTATATTATTGTACTATTTTAATAGAATAAAAGCATATCCCATTGCCTTTGAATTCTACTGCCACCTACTGTTTATGTAGGGAAATTCTCTTCACTCTTTACCCATGTTTTATGCCTAACTACTGAATTTTGGTTTTTCTCAGCGCTCATGAACTTTCTATTCTTTGAACTTGAAATTACAGTCGATGTAATTTTCTAATAGCTTCTGGTATTTCATTATAACAACTCAGAAGATACTGAACTTTTTCTCTTAGGGGGAGCCGTTTATGGCTTTATAGAACATGAAACTTTTTTAAAACTTGATATAACGTTTTTCATAATTAATTTTCAAGAAAGCCAGAAGGATCCTAGATTCCCTGAAGAATTTCTATCTTTTAATATATACTAAATTGGACACTAAGTTCTTCCTTGGACATCTTCCATTCAGGGAACCTTACCCTTCAAGGCTCAACTTTCATGCTTTTCTCTTGTAAAACTTTCCATAATTTTTCTAGATTGGAAGTAAAATGACCATCTCACAATTGGTAGTTATTATAATGACCCACATAAGGAAGGAAAATGAAAAATCCAGTTTGCAAAATGGCTTTACAGTACTTTCCCTCATCCTCCCTTAACCTCCATTGCTGGGTGTTGTTTGTTTGTTTGTTTTTGTTTTTGTTTTTTCCAGATAAATTGGAATGTCAGGGGGTGATTTACGAAGGGAAGGTTTCAGGGAAGACAAGACCAAAAGCAGGAACAAGCACTGTGCCATCTGCTTAGGTTCACTCTGTATACTCTGAAGTCAGCTAACTCACTGTTCTTAGATACTGCACGGTGAGAACTTCCAAGGCTAATAAAGTAAAAGCAGGCCAGGACGCAAAGGCAATTTTCATTCTGAAAGAAAATGTCAGTTTAAAGAAGAGAGAGAGGAAGCAAGAAGAGGCAATAACATGAGCAAAACTCTGTCATTGGAGTGTTTGTGAGCAGTTCCGCTAGACTGTACTTAGCCGGGACGCTGCGAGTTGGTGACTAATACACCAAAGTCTTGGATTTCACAGAGAGGCCCAGGCTTCGCTACAGATTAACTGAACAGTCTCTGAAGTCACTGGAGTTTTGTCACAGGACGAGGGTTAATCAGTTCCTCTGTGCATGTTAATCAGTTCCTCTGTGCATGTTAAACGCTTTTCTCGTTTAACATCATGACGCTCTCACAGTCTGAGGCTTAGGTCCGTGTTCCTTCCAGACACCCCGAGGCTTCTAGGTCACAGTCACTGCTTCGATCCTACACTTGACATCTCTTCGTGGACCAATCCATGAGAATAGCCACCAGTTATAGCAAACGCCCAGAAGAACCCTTGAGGGACATCACTCAAACGGAGGGCGGCAGGTCAGCTCTGCCTTCTCGTCCCGCCTTCTCCGATAAGGAATATTTTGAGGATTAAGGACTGTGTGGGCAGAAGGTGAAACAGTTTTTCCCTCATAGGAACATAAAGTCATTGTTTCTCGCTGTGTTCCACCGGACCTAACACCGGACCAACTTCCGGTCCGTTTCCTATGTCCTCCGAGTCTTGAGTCTTCCTCTACTTCTGCCCGGCGTCACTGTTGGGTGCGGGAGGCAGTAGCTACTTCCGCCCGGAGTCCCTAGCGGCTCGGCTCGGGTTCCGATGCCGCCCGACGCTGTGTTCTCCTCCTCCGCGGCCCGCCCGTCAGAGGCCGGTGGCAGCGGCTCTTACAAGGCCTGCCGCCAGGCCTTCTCTGTGGCCGAGTCCCCGCCAGCGGTGCGCACCCCGCAGGCCTTGCCGCACCCCCCCAGCCGGGGCGGGGCTCGACCTCCCGGGCCCGCCCATTAGGGGGCGCCTCATCGGGGCGGATTAACCGCCTCCCCCCTGGGGGAGTCGTCATCCCCCAGGCCGCGGCCGCCCAGGGACCATGGAGTTCGCGGAGCTGATTAAGACCCCACGGGTGGACAATGTGGTGCTGCACCGGCCTTTCTACCCCGCCGTGGAGGGGACTCTGTGTCTGACGGGCCACCACCTGATCCTGTCCTCCCGGCAGGACAACACGGAGGAGCTCTGGCTCCTCCATTCAAATATCGACGCCATTGACAAACGGTGAGCGCCCACCACACCCAAGTCCGTGAGGAGCCCGGACTGACGCTTCCAGGTGTTTTTTTTTCTGGCATCCTCGCCCAGCCGGCCAAACGAACCTTCTGAGGCCTAGATCTGAAAGTCATCTGCACGGGCTACATGGCTTTTGCTATCCCTGGGCTAAGGTCTCAGGGGTATCATAGCAGTGGTCGTTTTGAACAACATTTGGTGTATTTTCAGTGCTGTCTTAATTTTTTTTTTTACTTACATTACATTCCTTGCATGTTCTCGCCATTTCTCGAATCATTATTGATTGTCAATCTCACTTCTCGTAGTTGTAATTGAGTACAATTTAAAGCCCCTCCCCCTTACAAATAGACATGTTCATCCATTCTTTGCAGCCTAGGCCAGTCTTGAGCGCCCGACTCTCCAGCCTTGGCCTCCCAAGTAAGTGCTGGAATTACATTTGTGTGTGTGTGTGTGGCACCATGCCTGGCCATAGTTGCGGACATTGTCATTATTTTCCATATAAGCATTTTATTCTCTCCTTTAAAAAGTTAAAGTTCAGTAAGGTGATGCACTGGGAAAGCCGAGGCAGGTGGATGACAGATTTGACACCCATTTCACTCATGTATGGAAGACCTTCTCAACAACAACATCATCAAAAGTTCAGTTTATGATATTTCTTCTTATTTATTTTCTGGGTTGTTCCCTTCCCACTGAGGGTAATCAGTCCTTAGCATTATTCAGTTTGCTTCTGAGAAGAAAAGGACTGACTCTTAAGGAAAGTATGAACTAATTCATCTTTATTTTCCCACTCCATACTTTAAATTGTTTTTATTTCTTTTTACTTATGTGTCTATGTATGTATCTGTGTGTGGGTATGTACACATGAGTGCAGGTGCCCCAGGAGGCCAGAAAAAGGTGTTGAATCTCATGGAGCTGGAGTTACAGGCAGTTAGTTGTGAGCCACCCTATGTGAGTTCTGGGGACAGAGCTTGGATCTGGAAGAGCAGAAAGTGCTCTTCACTGCTGAGCTATCTCTCAGCCTCCCAGTGTATACTCTTCATCTGTGCAAGAGAATGTCTCAGAGTCAAACGTTTATATATACTTTCACCTGCACTTAAATTCTCTGTCTTCTCTGTCCCGTGAGCCCTGTGTACTGTAGGCAAATTGATTATCCAGTTCACTATGAAGTATGTGTGACAAAGCAGACGAAATGGTAATTTGGAGTCTCTTGGTCATGCATTTGTGTCTGGAATATTTTCAGTTATATCTAGTCTTGTATTTCTAGTACGACTATATCCTAAAAAATCACTCCTCGGTCCTTGCCCTGTCAGAACTGTCTCTGGTCATGGCAGTCCATTTTCCTAACAATTGTCATAATGTGCTGTGTAAGATTGACATTTTGAATATGTACTGTATGTGGCATAAAATTGTGAATCAGTGGAATTAAGGATTGTGAGCATTTGCTTGTTATGTGAGGTCTTAGGGAAAACTTGCCAAGTTTAGGATGGAACATCACTGGAATAAGTTCAAAGAGAAACAACACATGGCTCTTTTGGGTACATGAACACAATGTATGACTCTTAGAGTTTGGGTCCATGTTTTAAGAATTGAAATGTCTGTGTACTCAACCAATAAAATCTCAGTTGTGAAAGAGGGAAAAAAAAGGATGTGTGAGTAACACCGCACTTCCTATTGCTTCACTGCGTATTTTGGATGTTAAGATTTCTACAGAGATTGTGCCTTAACGCAGTCTGGTGGTAGCCTTACCAGCAGTTTGGGTGAAGCAGTGGTGGGTCAGCACCCATACCAGCAGCAGGCTCCTAGCCTCCTCAGTTCCTCTTTAGTGCATAAACTTACTCAGTGGCCTCTCACGCTGCACGAGAAAGGCTAATTCCTGACACTCTGTGTTCTGGCTCTAACCTATTCTCCTCACTGGTTTTCTTACCATTCACATGATTTGTAATTTCTTACAGATTTGTAGGCTCCCTGGGTACCATCATCATAAAATGTAAAGATTTCCGAATTATTCAGTTGGATATTCCTGGGATGGAGGAATGTTTAAATATAGCCAGTTCCATTGAGGTGAGTATTTGCAGGCAGAAGTCCGCAGCCCTTGTGTTTCTCCGGGCAGGTATTGGATCATGACCCCAGGACTGCTAATGTAGGAAAAGCCCTTCCTGGTTTGTTGTCACACGAGAGTAACGGGACCGCTTACTGCACTTTCACCTTACACGGAGCTCCTAATTCCATCAATTGCTTAGAAATTTGTGGAATTTCATGATAGAATTCCCATGAGTTCATATTGACCAAATAATAGATGCTGTTTCATTTGAGTGTGTATGAATTCTTGTTTAGAAAAACCCCCAAGGATCATGTTTACTTCGTAAATCTTGATACTTTCTGTGATGAAGACAGTTTGGGAACTGTTGTTCTGTTTCAGTGGATTGCTTGGAAGAACAACCTATGTGGAGTGTTAAGCCAATGAAACAAATACAGTTAGTAGAATTGTGGACATGGTACAACGAATGGGTGTGATCTTCTTGAGTGTAGTGTATCTTTGGAATAGACACACCCTTGAACCCTGAGCAGTAACTCTTAATACTGCGATTGTTATAATGTAGTTCTTCTGTTAGTGTGAGGCCCATGGGTGAAGTCTTTATCTCTTGCAATTAGTCTCCTGTTATAAAATGAGGACATCATTACCTGCCTCTTAGGGCTGTTGTAAGATTACATTTATGGGTATATGTAGAATTTTTAGTACAATACTTGGCAAATGGTAGCTGCCATTGGATGGTCCTTCTGTGAGAACAGTTTCTTGCTGAGACTTTGTGGTAGAAATAGCCACGTCACATAAAGTTCATTATCTTAACCATTTCTCAGCTTACCGTTGAGCTGTGTGTCAGGAGTATATTCACAGTGTTGTGTAACAGACTAAAGCAGTGACTGTCACCAACAGTTGTCATCTGTGACTTGTTTTCCTCTGTTCACTTTAGATGTGTTTGTTTATGCTTATATAAAAGTTTGGAACATTGCTTCCGGCTATGCTTGAGAAGCTTCGAGAGGATAGTTTAAAGTCTTGGTTGAAGGCTTCACATTCCTTTTTCATCTTCTGACAATTTTCATATACACACCAATTTTAAAATGCCTTGTTTTAAATCACTGCCACTAAATTGTGCCAACTGACTGTGTGTGTAAAGTAATTTCTAGGTAATTATAGAGCTAGCTGATTTTTTTCCTTCTATGTAACTGACTTATTTTGGCTTTATGTTTTAAAAGAAAAGTGGGTTTAGCTCTTAAAAAGGAGAAAAAAAAACCCTTAAATCGATGATTACAATTTTGTTTGGTTTTTTAACAAGAAGTAGAGGATCGAGTGATGTGTTGCTAAGGAAATGACACACAAACCTTCCTGCTTTTGCTAAATTCTACTTGAGAAAATGAGAAAAGAGTAAATTGAATAGTCTGCCATACATAGTTGTCACTTGGAAGTATGATCTTGACATGGCTCTAATTCCCATCGTGAATAAGAAAGCAAACTGAGATAATGTTTTGCTATTTAGACAAAGGAATGTGTGGGCTCACTTTGGTTGGGTATACCCAGTGCAGCATAAAGATAGCACAATACCTAGTCATGGGCTGATCCCTTTAGGAAGGAGGAAGTGGATGCAGCTTCTACAGATGTATGTCTTGTAAGAACTCAGTTTTATTATGTGTTGCACTGTTGTTGCCTGTTAGATGCCTTTTCTCCAAGAAGACTTCTAATAAGCCTGTGAAGTTTCCTCCATTGAACAGGCATAGGGAAGCTATGTGATTTAACCACTGTGTAGCTGGGATTTGGACCTTGAAGGCTTTTCTGATGCTTGTCAACTCACCAGAGTTGAGTATTCCTTTTTGTGGAATACAAGCAGGCATACATTTTGAATGACTTAGTTACTGGGTTTTTAGTTGAGACCCTACTGACTAACCCAAACCTTCTTGTTCCCCAGGGTCCAGAAATTCTTGGACATTTTTATTGAGCTTTGGACATTTGAATTATGTCGGGAGCCATTATTTCATTAGGCACAGACTGTTGTGTTGCTTGTTTCGTTCAGGCAGCACTTGTTGAGTGTGGTTGTGTGTCAGGTGTCTAAGATGCTGAAGTGCGGGTACCAGCTGTAATCAGACTGTAGCTGTTTGTAGAGATACGGCACTGGAGATGTGTATTGGGCTCCATCATTACCAGGTCCGATGTCCTTACTGCTGCTTTGTTAGAATGCTTTCAGTTGCTTTCCAGAATCTTTATCTTTTATCTTTATTTGTCCTCTAGGCATTGTCCACTCTAGACTCAGTCACCCTGATGTACCCTTTCTTCTACCGACCCATGTTTGAGGTGATGGAAGACGGCTGGCATTCCTTCCTTCCTGAGCAGGAGTTTGAGCTCTACTCCTCCGCTGTAAGTTAACACTTGATATCGTGGGTGCCGAGAATGAACCCAACACCTTATTTTACTCGGGAAATGACCCTTTCCCTTTGAAGGCTGGTGAGATGGGTTTGGGCTCTTCCTGCCTCAGTTTAGAGTGTGCGCTGGCTGTGGGTTAGCCTTTTTCCTTCCTGGCGGTCATTTTGCCCAGGTGTTGGTATAATTGCTGTAGCTGCAATGCCTTGCCTTCCAACAGATTAACATAGTCCAGACATTTTAAAATGTTTGAAAATTACATTTGTAAATATTATTTTAAAAAATAAAAATAAAACATTGTTTCGCTCAAAGCTACTCCTGGCATACTGTGAGTTAATTGGTAGGTGTCTCCCGAGTAACAACTTAATATGTACTAGGTTTTGAGCCACGCTTCAAAAGTGTGTTGAGCCCACAGTGTGCCTGAGATGGCACTGGAGAAGCGCCTAGCTTGTGTGCTGCTGGACAATGCCTGGCCTGGTCTCCAAGGCCAGCTTGCTAGAGCTGGGTTTTCCTTATTGGCTGTTTGACTTCTCCTAACATACTTCTATAAATGGTCATTTAGAATCAAGACAGAGATTAGGGTGCTGTGTAATTTGAAGAGTGAAGTTGTCCATGGTGGCAGAGGGAAGTAGAAAGGGAATTTTATGGTCTTGTGTGTAAATACCATTGAATATGGTGAAAATATAGTTTAGCCTAGAGCTTGTTTGAAAGATCTGTATGAAAGATGAAAAGTTAGCAGGAGTCATACTGCATGTTATGAAAAGTATGGGGTGAGGGGGAGCCAAAGGCTCCTGGAGGAAGTGTCTAAAGGAGAAGGGAGCCAGAGTTTGAATCTGCTGTTTTGTAAGAGCAGTTTGTAAGAAGCATCCTTCAAGTGTGAGAAGCAGCAGTCTGGAGTCTGTGCTCATAGCTTACTGTTCCTCCTGGACTAGGAAGTAAGCAGCTAGAGTGTATGCTTTGTAAGGTCAGGAACCATGGGGTGTTTATTCCCATTCAGTATTCCTGGCACATGACTAGCAAGTGGTAAGGATTTGTTAGGTGAATAAAAGAGTGTAAGACTGTGTGTATCTATAGAACAGGACAAAGGATGGCAGGATATTGTGTCTATCCTCCATTATTAGAAATTCAGGACAGGCAGTGGTGGTGCACACCTTTATCCCAGCACTTGGGAGGCAGAGGCAGGCTGATTTCTGAGTTCAAGGCTAGCTTGGTCTACAGAGAGAGTTTGAGAACAGCCAGAGCTGTTATACAGAGAAACCCTGTCTAAAAAAAAAAAATAAATAAAAAATAAAAAATAAAAAAAAAAAACTTTATGAAGGACAGGCATGTGTCTTGATCTGTAATCTTTGGAAGGCTGGGGTTTCTGGTCTTGTGTTTTTTGTTGTTGTTTTGAACTTGTTTTGTTTATTTGTCGACCATAAAATTTTCTTATAGTATTAGCCACTTCTGATTTTCAGTTATGCCCTGCCCCCTCCCCGCCCCCATCCCCTCTACCCCTCTGTGATATTAAAAGAACAGAGTCTTTAAAATAGCTATAAAGAAACCTCACTGGTCTCATTTGGTGGCTTTGTCTAGTGGTCAGCATGACTGTGGCATTGATGGTAGCTCACACCCTGACAGAAGATCATGTTCCTGTAGCGGGACAAGCCAGAAGAAGGAGCCTAAAGTGATCAGAGATATAGAAGAACAGTGAGTAGGAGCAGGCCTGAGAAGAGGAGCCTTAATGTGTGTAACCCAAATCTCTGGCTGACTTGCATGCAGGCTGGAAACAAAGTGAACTTGGAGCTGAGCCCCCAGGCAGCACGGGCGCTTGAGTTCACAAAGCTAGCCAAGGTCTAAATGCCTCTACAACAAAAGGTACCTCCTGCACCAAGCATGTCCGCATTCACAGGGTCTATGATGCAACCAAAATTAAGTCAGAAATGTCACCATTTGGCCAGAGGAAAGAGTCAATAGGCACTCACCCCAAGGTGACCCTGATGTCTGAATCCTCACACAAGGATTGTAAAGCAATAGTTAAAACTATGAGAAAGTGACCAGGAAGTGGAAACAATACAGTAATCAAGTGGGAGCTGAGAGATGGCTCAGGGATTAAGAGTGCCTGCTGCTTTTGCCAGAGGACCTGACTGGGTTCTAGCATCAGCACAGGGCAGCTCGTAACCACCAGTAGCTCAAGCTCTCGGGAATCCATGGTCTCTTCCAGCCTCCACAGGTACCTGTATACATACTGCACACAGCTACACGTGCACACACAAACACCAAGTAAATCAATAAAAGCTAGACGAAAGTAATTAAAATTGATCTTTAAATAAAAACATTTCTACTAAGTTTCACATCTTAGCTTAATTTTCTATTAATATACGCCAGGGTTGATATGTTGGTCCATCTTGAATTTATAGGCACATACTGAAATTTGTACATGTCATTTGGTTTTTTCAGCTGTAAGATGTAGTTCTGCTGTTTGATGGTTTCCTGTCATGTGCTTCCAGGACTTAGAAATGATCTCCTGACACGCAAGGGCTCTCCAGGAGTGTGTCCTTGTTGTCTTAAGAATGATGAGCCTCTCTCACTACATTCTTCCTTTTCTAGCAGAAGGAACAAAGGATTTGCTATGGCCAACATCTCTACTCCAGCAGAGCATTCTAGAATGTCACAGTCTGTTGGTACTGTGTTAAGATGACTGTTACCTGAGCAGTATCCAGGAAGAGTGAATGGGCTGATGTTGGCTATCATAACCACGGACATACTTGGCATATGTAACTAAGGGGCAAGAACTGTCTTATGAAATGGAGAGCGTAAGCTGTGTTTTCTGAATCACAGTTAAACTGATAGAGGAGCTTCCAATACAGTAGGTGTTGGCCTGCCATAGGGAAGACGTCTCTAGGGATGCTGATCATTAGCCATGCCAGAAGCTGGTGGAGCTGGCCTGAAGGCTGGAGATTTTTTTTTCCCCCACAGTACTTGAGTGTAGGCTAGATGTCCAAATTTCTTGCTGAAATGCCTCCCTGGAAATTGTCTCCAAAGCTTTGAACCTTAGATGCTTTATGACACTGAGATGCTTGCTTAGCTTTGAAGTGCTGTGTGTTTTGCAGACCAGTGAATGGAGACTGAGCTATGTCAATAAGGAGTTTGCCATCTGTCCTTCCTACCCACCAGCAGTCATTGTGCCCAAGTCCATCGATGATGACGCTCTTCGGAAAGTGGCAGCCTTTCGACATGGGGGGCGCTTCCCGGTACTGAGCTATTACCATAAAAAGAATGGCATGGTGAGTGTGAGGGGCGCTGCTCTGCTGATAGGCCTGGCCTGGGTGGGTGGGTTCCTTTGCTTGGGGGTATTCCCTTTTCTCTGTGCCTTTTGGCTGACGTCATTGGCCAGATCATTCCCACTAGTACATCCCTTGTGTAAACTGCAGGGCACCAGGAGTGGGATGCTTTTCTGAGGAGGATGTACTGAATTCTTTCAGTACTGCTCAGCTTTTGAAAAGTTCGGTTTATCTTCAGAGCACAGTGTGAAGGAAGCTGTTTATTTAATGCTTGCTGCAATGCTCTTTAAGACAGAAGAGTGACATTTCTCCTCCTAGAGCCGTGTTTAGATGTTTACTGTAATTATTCTTACCAAATTCCCATGTGAAAGTTGAGTTGAGCAGACACTGATTCAAAAGAGAAAAAAAATGACACATGCCATTTACTCATACTTTAGGAAACTGGGTAATTGGGGATTGCTGAGACCAGTGATGTCTTGGGTTCCTGAGCTCTGACTGGGACAGCCCGGGAATGAAGAAAGAATGGATGCACATGTAGCAAATGTGGGATTGGGTAGGCTGCATGGTCTGATGGAGCGCCACCAACTAGGCTACAACTGGAACCTCAGCTTGTTTATTATGTCCAGCCTGGGGGAGGGGAGATAGCTAGTTTAGGGAAGAGGTCTCTACGCCAGCAGTCTCAGGCTGTCTGCATCCGGGAGGAGGAAGCTGCGCTTGCCTGCCGGTTTTGCTCACACTGTCAACATTCACACTTGGACCAGAGGAAGGCTGTGCCGTCTCTCTGACCTGACCTGGAGGCAAGGCTTTGTCAGTCTCCTACGGGTCTGTGGTATCGGTCTTTGACACATGGCCTGCCCACATTAATGAGACACTTCACGTGGGCCTCCTCGGTTTCTCACGAGGGCTGCATCTATCTAGAGCTTTCTGGATGTGAACTTTCCAAATGACTTTCTGCTCTCCTCCACCCTTTAGTTTTCTGAGACAGGGTCTCACCATGTAGTTCTAGTTGTCCTGGAACTCTGTGTAGACCAGGCTGACCTCAGACTCCCAGAGATCTGTCCCCCAAGTGCTGGGATTAAAGCCTGCACCACCATGTCTGGCACTTTCTCCTCTCTTGCTTAAACTTGGCTTGCCATTCTGCAGCCCATATTAACCTAGACAATTACAGCTGTCTTCCATTGTCCTTTCCCACGCGAATGTGAAGGAGGGCATCAACGGGACAGTTTTAAAAGTTTGCTCTTTGTCAGCAGGCCACCTGTCCTGCTGGCAGTGGTATTGCTCTTCAGTTTATATTGTACAGTGTTGTAACAACTGCTGCTAAATGGAGTGTTGAGTCCCATGGTGGCATCAGTATAAAATAATTGCCATTTATTCTAAGCCAAACAGTAGTGTCTGCTCAGTGTGACAGGGTGACAGGGTTCACAAGCTCCTGCAGTCCTAAACAAAAGAAAAGGCTCAAGCAATGCATGTAATGCATCGGCGAGAGCCTGCGGTACATGGGTGCAACAAAGCAGGACTTTAAAGTTCTGTGGTTTCAGATGTCACAGCTTTAGCTTTAGGGCTTACAGATCAGAGGTTGGCCAAGCCTAATGGTGAGTTCTGCAAGGCTTTCCTAGAAGTCACCAGGATGTTGGCTCAGATACAGAGATGGGCAGTTGTGAGAAACAACTTAAAATGGAGGGAGAATGTGTTCTGGCTCACAGATTCGATGTTTCACATCCTGCTGGCCCCACTGCTTTGGGCTTGGGCCGAGGAAGAACACCGTGGTGGTGAGAGCATGGGGAGGAAGAGGCTATTGACCTCAGCAGAGAGACAGGAAGAAGGGGCTCGGGACAAGGGGTGGCCGGCCCCTAAACACATCCCCAGTGACCTGGGGACTCCAGACAGACCTCAGATTTCCTCTAATTTCCAAAAACGTGACCACAAGCTGGCCACGGGTCATGTTGAGCTGTTTTCAAGTAGTAAGAGCGTGTAATGATGGTTCCTGCGGCAGCACCAAACCGTCCCCCAAGAAGAGATTGGTGAAATAGTGCTAATTTCTTGAGAAAAGCTTAGAAAGCAAACCTTTCAAAATATGTAGATGGTAGTCTTTGGAGACAGGCAGTCTCAGAATACTGAAAGGATGGCAAAGGGGCAGTGGAGGATAAATAATAGACAGGCAGCTTTCAGAACATTGAAAATGACTCCCCACACAGGGTGTATATAAACTTTCTAATTTGTGTTTCTCTGTCATTCTTGCCAGAGTCTGCTAGCCCCATGTATATGGAGTTGAAGTTTACTCTTCCCTCCAAGATTCAGTAATGGTTGTCTATCAGATAAACTGATAGAGATATAAGGGGAAGTCCGTGTGGATTTTATCCTGTGTCTAAGTGTGGGGCATGAGACAAAGAACTGGAAGGCAGAATTGTCAAAAAGAGAGGCTGATTGTTACACAGATGAAGCCTCCCTGCTGACAGCCTTGTGTGGTCCTCTGCCAGGTGTCAGACCCCAGTGTTTTCCTCCAGGTTGAACAGGCAGAGGGAATATGAGACACAAAGTCTCTGCCTGCTTTCTCTGTTGCTAACGACAGGTGGATGCTTCTTTTTGTTAAGTGGATGCTTTTCAGAGCCATTCCTGGGTCTGCAGAGGTCTGCAGTTTATTTGAAGCCTCCCACAAAGGCTGTTTACTGACTCTTAGGTTGTTGTCTTCATTACGGGACCAGATCTACTACGGTCAGTTCATGGCCTAAATGAAGTACAGTGCATGATCGTTAAGAGGTGATGATAGAGCTTACTGTGTTTGAGGTAGCAGGAAAATAGTTGTACTAAAGTGCAAGGCTTATCTTTGTTTTACAGGTGTTAGTACATGCAGCGTTTTGTGTATGGCATGCTCATCAGAGTCCATGGCAGAATGCCACAGATCGTTTTCCAGAGAACCCTGATCCAGCTCCTTCTCAGAAACTTCAAGTACCTGCTATTGACTTGTTGCCTGTGTGCTTCCAGGTGATTATGCGAAGTGGTCAGCCTCTGACTGGCACCAATGGGCGGAGGTGCAAGGAAGATGAGAAGCTGATAAATGCCACCCTCAGGGCAGGAAAGCGTGGCTACCTCATTGACACCAGATCACTGAATGTGGCCCAGCAAGCTAGAGCCAAAGGAGGGGGCTTTGAACAGGAAGCTCACTATCCCCAGTGGAGGCGGATTCACAAGTCCATTGAGAGGTAAAGAGGCCAGCATGGGGGGCACTCCCTATAGCTGATTGCAGGGGGTTATCCTGTAGCCGTTCAAAACAGAGATCACAGCTACTCCACATAATGGAGGGTCTGGAATAGGCTGGACAACCCAGTGTGGGCTTCCCTGCCCCATCTGCATTACTAAGGCTTAGTGGATGAAAAGGTGTATATTTGTCAATGCAAAACAGCGTTTTCACCTCAAAGGCAATAAGAGTGAGCTTATTCTTGAGCCAAATACAGTGACTTAGCCCAGAAACACAGATTCAGGTTGCCCCAAACAGCATGTTCTGATGTGGAAGAGGCTTCATGAACTTTTCCTAGTCACAGGATGAAAGACATGAAGTAAGGCATTTTCCAGATACACTGGTGGGAACATGGGGTAGGTGGGGCACAGCAAACTGGGGCTCTGCTAACAGGTCTCGGTGCTGCCTGACGACATTCTTAGCTTTGATGCTGGTGGACAGTACCGATTTGCAGAGTGACTGCACTCCAAAGTTTTACCAGTGGTTGAAAGGTTAGGTCAGACAGAGGTGGGCACTGGACGGCTACTAAAGGGACAAGAGGTAATCAGACATACCCTGAATTTGCAACATTCCAACTCCATGGTCTCAAAGTTCAAATCAGTCAGCCTTGTGGTCTTTAACATAGGTGTGGCTATTTTCTGCAAATTAGTTCACACTGTTGTGTGTGAGTGCTATTTGATTCAGCTGTAGACTGAGAAATGCTGAAACAAAGTATCTGTCATCTCATCTGCTTGTCTGTGGCATGAATATTTATGTCTCCTCTGTCAGCATTTTTCAGTGGTCCTGTAGCTGCTGCAACTGGGGTCTGTAGAACCAGCCTCCCCGGTTCATGGCTTGCAATCCTGAAAGCATAAACCAGGAGGCCAAATATGCTGGAGAAAAATGGTTTGAAAGCCATAAGAGAAAGAAGGGAAGGTTCCTAATTCATTGTGTCGTGGCTGTGGCAGTAGCAGGACTTAGGGAAAGTCGTGAGACGAAGCCAGAGGTCCATAGGTTTAGTTGTCAGTTTGTAAGGGCTTTCCTGGGAGGACGGTGGCTGGGCTGCCTCCGTTCTTGGCATGGGGGAGTCTACTGTCCAGGCCTAGGTGAGTTTTAACATTGTCTTTCCTTCTGTTTCTGGCAGAGTGCCATTAGAGTTTTGTAAGGGGTAATATCGAGTCTGTAGATTGATTTGGGTAGGAGGGTACTTGAACCATTTTCCCAGCCCATGAACGTGAGCTCTCTTTCCATTGATTTGTGTCCACATTCGTTTCTTGAGCATTTTATAGCTTTTAGTGTACAGATCTTTTATAGTCTTGAGTAAATTCACTCAAGTTATCTATTCTTTTTGTTGTTCCTGTGAATGAGTGAGATTTTCTTTTCTTTTTAAAAAAAAAGTTGGATTTTTTTGTTTGTTTGAGACAGGATTTCTCTGTGTAGCCCTGGTTGTCCTGGAACTAACTCTGCTTGTTCTGTAGCCCAGGCTGGCCTCAAACTCACAGAGATCTGCTTGCCTCTGCCTCCCCAGTTCTGGGATTGAAGGCGTGCACCACCACCTGCCCTGCCAGGTTTTTTTTTTTTTTTTTTTTTTGCTAGAGTCTTTAGAATTTTTCTATTCATAAGATACTTTTGTTTGCAAAGAAACAATTTAACCTCTCCCTTTCTGACTTGTTTGGTTTTTTTCTTTCTGTTCCCAGTTGCTCTGGCTAGTACCATGATGAAAACAAGCATTCTTGTCTTGTTACTGATCTTCAAGGAGACACCTTTGACTTCCCCTGAGTATGATGTTGACAGTGGGTTTGTCACATGGCCCTAGTTGTGTTCAGGTCCGTTCTTGCCATAGGTATTGGTTGAGTCTCTATCAGGAAAGGATGCTGACTTGTCTAGTGCTTTCTCTGTCCTGTTGAGATCCTTGAGGTTTCTGTCCTGTGCTTTTGCACGTGTATTGATTAGTTTGAGTTGTGTCCTTGTGTATAAGGGTTTGGGGCCTGGGTGGTGTCCCTTTAAATGTGCTGTTGAGGTCGGTTTGCTAGTGTTTTGATGATTTTTACATCCGTATTCATCATTGGCCAGTGATCTCCTCTTAATGTTCTTGTCTGGCTTTGACAATAGAGTTGGGCCAGTAGTAAATTCACAGTGCTGTCTTCAGGGTTTTGGAAGACAGGAAAGGACTGGTATTTAGTTTTTTAAGTGCTTGGTAGCTTGTGAGGCCTTCAGGACCTGGGCTTTTCTTTGATGGCAGAGTTTTGCTTTTCATTACTGGTTCGTTTTTTGTTAACTCATTGTGCTACTCACATTTTCCATTTCTTCCAAACTCAGTCTCGGCAGCTGCTGTTTTCCCAGAACTGCGCTCATTTCTTAGGGTATCTACTTTGTTGGTGTATAATTATTCATAGATGTTTACAGTCCTTTCTTTTTTCTTCCTTTTGAGACAGGATCTCACTATGTAGCCCTGGCTGGTTTAGAACTCACTATGTAGATCAGACTAGCCTCAGACTCACAGAGCCCCGCCTGCCTCTGCCTCTGGGGTACCTGGATTAAAGGCCATGCCACCATGCATACCCTATGATCCTTCCTACTCCTGTGGTATTGTAGTGTCTCCTCTGGCATTTCTCATTAGATTTGCTTGAGTTTTCTCTCTTTTTTATTTAGATTAGCTAAAGAGTTTTTCATTTCATACAACTCGTGTGTGTGTGTGTGTGTGTGTGTGTGTGTGTGTGTGTGTGTGTGTGTGTGTGTCAACTGAACACAAGACTTAAGTATATTAAGCAAATGAGCTCCAGCCTTCATTGAATTTTGTAAGATAAGCAAAAAATCTGTGCTGGATAAGCACAGATGAGCCTCACTAGATAGCAGTCTTTTTCCCTTCAGCCCTGAGCTCTCCCAATGTCCGCTGCTGCCAGACTGGCAGAACAGATTTGCTCCATAGAGTTACAGCTTCCTGCAGTAGCAGCTTTAGAAGTTTAGTCTCCTGGAGCCGCCACCTGCTTCTTCCTTGTGTTCTCTCCACCTGCTTGCTTCTCCTCAAAGGAGGCTTTCTACGTTCTTCAGGGGGTGGTAGCTGTGGGGAGGGGCTTGGAGCTAAAATGGATAGGATTGGGGTCTGGTCTTGGGTGTCACTGCTGAGACCTGGATGTGTAATCTAGATCATTCAGCAGCTACAGGGTCGAAGTGTAGGTTGCCCTGTGCCCTGGGATTAGGCAGTCACAGAAGAGTGCAGTGTCCTGGCCTCTGCCCTCCCAGGTGACCCAGCTGTGTGGAGTGGGTCTCCTCTGCTCAGCAGGAACGTTTTCCAGGAGACGTTGAAGCATCTACACATAGTGCTAAGAGTCCTTCCGACCCTTACTCCTCAGGCTGCTGGAGCAGTGGAAGTGGCCTAAGTGGCCTTGCCACTGAGTGCGCTGGAGACATTGGGGTTTGGTTCCTCGTCACTCTGTTTTATCTCTCCGTTTTTCTTGTTTTAAAAGATACCATGTTCTTCAGGAGAGCTTAATCAAGCTCGTGGAAGCATGTAATGAGCAAACCCACAACATGGACCGATGGCTTGGCAAGCTGGAGGCCTCCAACTGGCTGACACACATCAAGGAGATTCTGACCACTGCCTGCCTGGCGGCCCAGTGCATTGACAGGTAGCATGTGTTTTGCCTTCCTGGATGGACTCACACTGATGGCCAGACATCGTTCTTATCCAGAGTGTCCATAGAGTGCATCAAAGTCCATTCCCACTCCATAGCTTCCAGATGGCTTTATCAGTATTGTACAGGGGTGGGGGTTGGGGGGTCTGCTTACAGTTACTGGTGAGGGTGTGTGGGTCTGATATGAAATGACCACGTCTGTTGAGTGAATGTGATTAGTGTCCACGTACCTCTGATGACACAGTTTTTAAATACCACGGGTCTACTTTTTCTGTGAAATCCTTAAATTATGAATTTGCCATGAAAATGATTGAAAGGAAGTTTTCCTCATAGAATCAATGGAACAACACTGTCACACAGTGTCGTTATCCTTTCTCCTGGGCTGGATTTCTCATCCTAAAGTGCTGGGTCTGAATGGCCTCTCCAGTCTCAGCTGGGAAAGCCTGCTGGTGGCCATGCAGTTTGCCAAGTCATTTTAGTATTCACTCAGTTGAAGCCTCCTAACCCTTGAGACTTGAGGCAGAAGAATGAAGAGAGGCAGGAGGATTATATAATTGTTGCAGAAGCATAGAGCCTTTTAAAGGAGGGGATTCCCACTGAAACCATAGGTAGGTGTCAGCACTGTTGCTGCCTCCCTGGGTGGCACTTGAAACATTAAAGAGTTAGGGGAATCCATCCTTCATTTTTTAAAGGCTGTAGTGAGTTGCCTAAGATCTTGTGCTCAATAAACAGGCAGAGACCTGGGGCAGAGGTCACAGCTGCTTCTGTTCTTTGGACTTAGGTTAGGCTTTAGCTAGTCAAATGGGAGATTGAAGACCAGGTTTCTGTGACAGGAAGCCAACAGCTCAGAAGACTGAGCAGCTGACATGGATATTTCTGTTTCCTTTAGCCCAAGACTACCAAATTACTCCTTATGTCGTGAGTACAGAGGTGTTTTTCCCGTTGTCTTACTATCCTAGGCTAGCCTAGAACTTCCTTTGTAGCTGAAGATGACCTTAAATTTCTGATCCTCTTTGCTTCTACCTACCAAGTGCTGGGATTCCAGGAGTACACCACCACAGACAGTTTATGCGGCACTGAGAATAGAACCAGGGCCTTTGATGTTCCAGGCAAGCTGGGCCACATCCCCAGCCTGGCTTCACCTCCATGTCTACCCTCCCAGCAATAGTAACAGGACAGTGAGAGGAAGGCAACCCAGGGGCAGCCTCCTTCAGTTCTCCAAGGGCTGCCTTCCCTTTTCTGATATGTTGGGATTTATACCACAGTAAAAAGTGGCTTTATCATCAGTTGTTCAAAATGCAGAAATAAACCTTAAGTTCAGAGTAAACAGCACTCACAGTTCAGAGATACATTCAATATGTATGAAAGCCACAAAGTATCTACTCATACTCTTTAGCATAATTATTAGATATTCTAAGAATGGGCTTATATAACCTACCATTGGTAGGCTCTGTTGTTTGCACAATAAGAACTCCAAAATAATCCCACAGACAAGAACATCAACCATAGTATCACAGAATATATAGGGCTAAATAGATTATAATTTAATCATTTAATGGAATATTATATAGCCATTACTAAGTAGTTCTAAACAAGGCATAAAACATAGTTAATGTTTACAATAAAAGTGAAAATAGTGGAAATTGTCTTTCATTATTACTATATAATATGTATGGACATGGGAAAATAATTGGCAGTCGATCTGAAACATGAAATGTCCTTTTACCAAAATTTTCTTTACTATAGTTTCACTAAAAAGGGTGGAAGAAGGCAGAGTGTGTGGCTCATTTAGGTATCTCTTTAGAATAATGGGGTCCCAACACCCAGTAACTCTTATGGGCAGGAGTGTCATTGCCAGCTTATGACAGGGCTGACAGTTGTGTACTTTTGCTTTTTCCCACTTCTTTGTACCTCAGAGTAGAGTTTAGGACTTGTTTTTGGGGTCCATTACAGTTGGTGAAGGCTGATAGGGGGCAGCTGAGTTCAAGGTTGGAAAGGTCATTTTAATGCGTGTTTAGGTATAGGTTTGATGGGAAAGGTTTGTCTCAGCTCCTAAAGCCGGAGAGGCAAGTACCACTGTGACAGGACTCTTGTGTCTGTCCAGGGTTGGAAGGCCAGCTGGAAGGCGCTGCAGGTGTGTTGACTTAGAAGCACTCTTGCTGTGTGAAGATTGGCATTCACTGTGGTCTCCTGTTTCCCTGGAGACCTTCATCTGCCCAGTCCCCCCTCATTTAGACCCCATATCCTACTGCCGAGGCAGGGCATGAGACTGAACACTGTTGATGGAATGTTCGTCCTTAAGGAATTCCCTATCTGTGCTCTGGGATTTCCTCTCAGGGAGGGAGCATCGGTATTGATTCATGGCACAGAAGGGACCGATTCCACGCTGCAGGTGACTTCCCTGGCCCAGATCATCCTGGAACCGAGAAGCAGGACCATCCGTGGTTTTGAGGCCCTGATCGAGAGAGAGTGGCTGCAGGTGAGAGCGCTGCTGGATCAGAGTGGGACTGCCCATCATTGAGATTGAAGTCTCCGTTTGTGGGGCTGAGATTATGAATGAAATTTGGATTAGTTACAATTTTAAGTTGTATGTTCCATTTTCTGGGTCAGTTAATCCACCTGCACACAAATAAGTGCTTAGAATCATTATTATCTTTCGGTTTCTCCGTCTCCCGTGTTGTTTGTTGAACTTGGCCTGTGTGCATGTAAGCAGGCGGTCACCACTGGGCTGTGTGCATGTGAGCAGGCGGTCACCACTGGGCTGTGTGCATGTGAGCAGGCGGTCACCACTGGGCTGTGTGCATGTAAGCAGGCGGTCACCACTGGGCTGTGTGCATGTAAGCAGGCGGTCACCACTGGGCTGTGTGCA